GCCCGCGCCGCCCCCTCGGCCCAAGGCGCAGCCAGTGCACTCGACGCGGCTTCCCCAGCGGGGTCTCAGGCTGAGAGGCTGCCCCAGAGACACCACTTCGAACCCGCCTAGTCCCTCCTGGCAATCTCCCCTGCCAAGTACCTTCCCGGGGTAGGGGGTTGCCAGGTCTGACCCAGGCTGAACTCGGTTTCTCCCCAGTCCCCTAGCCGGCCCCTTAAGGGTGAGTGCACCCTACTTGGGAAACTACCGAATTTCAGAACCGGGTGGGACCTGAGAAATCTTTTCAAACTTGCGCCAACTCTTCCCCATTTTATAAATAAACAGACTCAGAAATAATGGCACTTGCTCATCAAGGTCACACAGCAAGATGGTGGCACGTGGGTAGAACCCAAGGCCACGGACTGCATCTCTAGGGATCTCTTCAGGCCCTTTGATCAGTCCCCCTTCCCCCTCCACCATCAGGGAGCACCGGCCCTCCTACCCCACCTCCAGCACCTATGGGGAGCAGCTCTGACCAGTTGCCACCTGCCCAGTGAAGCAAGGAACAGCCTGCCAGGGCTGTGTTGGGCACAGACCAGGCTGCAGCCGCCTGGAGCCTTCCCTGGTATGGCGGTCACCCCTCTACCACCATCTGCCCCAAGCCTGGGGAGGCCTCACTGACAAAGTAAGAGGGCTAGGAAGAACGGCTAATAGTGACAAGAAGAAGAGAGTCCCACCATCCCACTGGGACCCTACCCATTGCTTTCTCCCATGCAAGTCAACAACGATAAGATTTTCTGCTTCTGTGAAACCCACAGCCACCACAGGGCTCTCACCTCCTCTGGCCAACATAGCACTTCTGTTGCCCTGAGGCACCGCCCGCTCCTCACTTCCGCCCTCACCTCCCATGTTTCCCACACCTTGTCTCTGCCCACTGGAAGATCCCATAGCACCTCAAACTTCATCTGCTCCAGACAGAGCTTCTCAACTCTGCACCCTGCCTGACACCCACCACTTCACCTCTACTCTGATGTCCCATTTGCACCTTTTCATTTTTTTCCTGACGTTCTGTTCTGGAACATCTCCTGGATCGTCCCTTCCTGCTTGCCAGCCGCAGCCCATCCCTCACTGGTCCAGTAAACCAACCGCATGCACCCCAGCGACCGTTCCCCTTGCGATACCTGCTGAGAAGACCACCCTTAACCAAGAGGAGAGCCTGCCTCCTCGTTCTAAATCCTCGCCGTTCACCAGCGATGACACAGTCTTCATATATACTTGACCCTTGAACAACACAGATTTGAACTGCACAGTCTGCTTATACGTGGATTTTTTTTCCAACCAAAAGCTGATCGAAAATACAGTATCAGCCAGGCTCGGTGACTCAGCCTGTAATCCCGCGCCTTTGGGAGGCTGAGGTGAGTG